CACAGACTGCACCATCTGCCATCAACATTGACATAACATTGGCATTGGCATTGTTGATATTGCAACTCCTATTTACTTAAGTATACAGAGAGTTAAAGTTCTATTTAGATACTTAGTCATGTTTCACTCCTATTTAGAAGCATTTCTAAACATATAACTGAAATGTCAAACGATTTTATTATCATCATCATCAGTACATCTTGTTTAGAAAGTAACAAAACTATATCTAAAAATGAAGGATGAATTGACATTTTAATGAATTCCTTCCAAAAGAAAAGCAAATTTCATTTCATTCATCTCTAAGCCATTAATGAAACAAGCTGTAAGCCAAAAAAGGCTACCACACAAGCGTTCATTCTGCTTTCAAACAGAATACACTTGATAAGCTACCCAAACACAGTCTGAAAAGTGAAAATGTAGAACCATTCCTGAAACTATATTTAGCGTGGTTTGGTTTAACATTTTCAAAACAAGGTGATCATGGAAATAAAAAGAGCTAGGTGCTAATTACGTGAATGGTTATTTCCGTAATTGTGGGCCAAAGCGATTGTGTTTCTAAATCAGCAAAATTGCCCCACAAATACAAACAAACCACACACTTACTCTTTTATGTTCGAGAAGACAGATTGAAGTATATATTAAGCCTGGACGATCGGCCCAACTAAAAATAAGACTTTGAAGCCTAGCTCAAGGGGGGCCAGGGAAGAAGGAGAACGAGGCTAACTGGCCAGGAAGGATTCTGAATGAGGGTCATTTCCGACTATCCAGCGCGGCGTGTGCGCTAGGAAGTAATACTCAGCCTCAAGGGAAATAGCCAGACTCTTCGACACCACAATGACAGCCTCCCTTTACTTGGTAGAATTGTCAATTTCTTCAGATAGATCGTGTTGGACTAAACACTAACACCTTACCTTGTTTGGGCCAAGACCCACTTAAATTGTAATTTGTATATATACCCTCCCCATGACATGATGAAGGAGATCAATTCATGGCACACCTCACACACAAGTCTTCCGTCTATGTACTCTCTCCCTCTCTAACAATGGATCTAGATCTATGATTTCTCCTACCCTTAGATATAGGGTTCAATGACATCTATCATGTAGGTACACAAAGAACAAAACAAGCTTCTTGAGAATTAATGAATGATTCATTCTGCATCACATGATTATAGAACTCTAGAGGATAAGTGCAGAACATATTAAAGATCCATTTCCAACATAATCATAGTGGCACCTCACCTTGATTCTTCGGTTGGAATTCGGCTCCAATGTCTCCTATCATCAATGCCCGTTATGGACAGTCCGTGTGAAGCCACCAAAAGACAAGCCTTCCCTGTGTTCTTATCCAACCAAACTTTCTGCAGAATATTTAAAATTTTCACCATCAGAGATAATCATGAATCAATCAAAGCACAAGATGGGCTAACATCTCTAAAACACCCAAAGTGTAAAATCTCTATGAAGGGAATCAAAATATAGGCATCTACAAATCATGAAGTTCCACAGACAGATTGAGTCATGATCTAAAGATCTATCATACATTTCATCATCGTACATCAAATTTAATTGAAAATCTGAAACTTTCTATCTCATTGGCTTCAAGATAAAATCATCAATCAATCATATCAGATGAAATCAAGAAACCTTATACGGAGTATAATAAAAGATCATCTTCCAGACAAGGACGGCTTTAAAGAAAATCTCAAACCCTAATTTCTCCTTGGCTCTTGCATAAATTCAAGAACTATTACATCGTCACAAGAAACATCTCAACCATAAGCACATATGAAGTTGAAAGCGTGGAGAGAAAAAATAGGGGATCTGACCTTTGAGCCGCCATCGATGGAATTAGGGAAGCAGAGCTTGGAAAAAATGTCCCTTTTGCACAAATCTGCCAGAAATATCTCGTCCGCAAACACCCTTTGGATAAGAGACGGGTAATTAGGCGGAAGCTTCGATTCCCAAACAAAATCGGCGGAGGAGGCGCCCCTAAAAGCTTGATTGAGAGGCGCGAGCCGGCAGATCTGCTGCGGGTCAAGATGCAGCAGCACCGACGCCACGCAGCTCTCCGGCATGTCACCCAGGCCGGGATTGGCCGGCGGCGAGGCGCACGCACCGCCGAGATGAAACAGATCGGAGAAAGTGGAACCCATCCTTTTTAGATCGAGTCCAGGAAGAGAAAGGTTGAATACGAAATGTATTCCCTGTATAAAGAGCGAAAAATCTAGTTTGAAGAAGACAGTTTATAGATGTGAATTGAAAGGGGAAAAATGAAAGCCAGCTGCATGCCAATATGAGTATTTTTATTTATTTATTTGTAGACTCCATATAATTTTGCATAATGCATAGTAATGGACGGTGTAGCCTTTTTCTCCTCACCTCTTTTCTCTTAGAAGAGTGGAAATACTTCTAACGTTCTTTTATGTTATGTAGGATTTAACCTTTTAGAAGTGTTAAATATGACCCCCTTGAACGTCAAGGAGGCATTATTTGGTGTGCCTTAAACCTTTAATGCGGAAGAGAAGAGGAAAAGCTCGGCTCCTCCAATGCCGTTGAGTTTAAAAAAAACTTATTTACTCTGTAAATTCACTCTCATTTTTTAAAATAAAACGTACACAAATCTTCAACTTTCTTTCTTCTTCTTATTAAATTAATTCTCACCAATTGTCAATTTTCTTATATTTCCTGAAATGCAATCCCAACCAGTGAATTTGGTGGACTCGGACTCGGTTCCGGAAACTCAACCCACGATGGAATTTGTTTAATGTATTTTTTATTTAATGAATTATATCGGTTTTAATTTAATTAATTAATAATTTTATTAATTTATGGAAAGATATTTACGGTTTTAATTTAATCAATTTAATTAATTTACGATTATAACTTTAATTAATTTACGATTTTAATTTTATTAATTTACGGTTTTAATTTAATTAATTTAATTTTATATTCAGTGCTCTTAGGCTCTTACTCAGTTTTTTAAAGATATACGGAATACTTAAAATAGTGTTGTTATATCCACTCTTAGTGTTGTTATATCCACTCTTAGTTTGATTAAATTTATTTTATTCGTGTTTAATTTATAATTTTATTTTTTGAAATTATAAAAACAAGAATTTAGATATTCCGTACAAGTCATTTTTTAAGGATGTAGGTATCCAATTAACATAAAAAATTGATTTCAATCAAAATGATAGTGAATATAACAATGTTCATACAAAAAAAGATATGCCCATATTTAGTAAGACATATGACAATTATTTGAAAGAAAATAAATTAAATTAAAATTTTAGTATTACAAATACTCCGATAGGATGATCGACACACTATACATATCTCCCTTGTATCATCATCTTCTCGATCTTAATTATCACGCCAATAAGCTGTATAAATACACTCCGACCCAGTTATCAATAATAACACACCCCATTGGCATGGTACCAACTAAAAAAGTTCATGACTTTAATTTTTCTCGTGTTGGTCGGGTTTCTACGTAATCATTGCTTGCTCGTCGCGTTTACATTATTTACGATATTATTATTTGATATTATTCGGCATGGATTATACACACTCAGGTGGATTAAATTCCATTTATACCGCAATAGATTATCCGATTTACTAATAGATTATGCATGCGAAAAATAATAAATTGTGCGGAGCAAATTAATTATTCCTTAATTTTGTTGTTGGGGGTGTGATTTATGGTGTGTCAAACAACATGGCGCGTATAAAATAAAATAGGGATCGAGTGAATTAATTAAAGGATAGATTATATACCTTGCGTGGACTATCTATTCGTTATTATGGATGTCGATCGGATAAACACTTTGGATTGGATGACATTTTCAAGTAGTATTACTCAGATCCCATGATGTTTTTAGATTTTAATTTAATGATGCACTAAAATTAGACGCGCGTTCAAGTTGATGGAGTCCCAAATCAACAACACTTTCAAAATGAAAAATTATGCTCCCTCCCTCACATGAAATCCTTTTCTTTTCTTTTTCTATTCGTCCCAATAAACTTTTATATCATTCATATTAAAAATTTATTTTTACCCTTACTAATTTTTAATCTATCTATCACATCACATATTTTTTCTATTAATCTCTCCATCACATCTTATTTTTATTCATAATATCCAAAGGTATTTTTAGAAACTCAACATCAAAATATAAAGTTATCGTAGAATATCATAAATCATGAAAACAAAGAAAATAATTATCCCATAACAAATTATAGTTGATTTAACAATAGTTTGACTTTAATCTAATTTAAAATTAAAGTATTGTTTAATTTGATTTTAAAAATCGGAAACGGATACGAATGTATCCGATATTCGACCGATATCCGACGGATGCGGATACGGTTTTGATTTTCAGTATTCGTCAAGATCCGTATCCAAATTCGATATCCAACAAAAATAAAAAGATACGACTTTTGTAATGACACATCCAATTCGACCGTCGATACCTCTATTTACATTAATCAATTTGACGATGATAATTAGTTTTCTGCTGAGTCACGCGGCGAAGTAAAATAAAAAAAATAAAAAGCGAAGGTATTAGAGAGTTCGACGTGTGGGCGGGATAGAACTGCCACATCATTCTACGTGCGTCCCAGTCATCAAACCCCCCCAATAACATGCACTTCAATTTTTTTTCCAAACAAAAAAAAAAAGAAAAAAAATATTGGAAACGGGGCGCCGATTGCGAACCTTTCATGCAAGCCGACACGTGGCATGACCGTTATTTCCACCCTCTTTTGTTCAAAAAAATTCCAATATACAATAAGGGTGGGTCGTCTAGAACACAAAAAAGTCCGCATAATTCAGAATTGAGCTTCACAAAAAAAAAAAAACTCCAAATGTTTGGCGAAAAAGGGGGAAAAAATACCCAAAGAACAAAATTTTCTCTTCTTTATCTTTTGTTGGAACCCCCCCCCCCCAAAAAAAAAAAGAGTACAATAAATAGCTAGATAAAATTAAATGTTAATGTAATTATTTAAAAAATATATATATACAGGGCGGTACTGGATAAAATTTGTGAGAGGGAGTACGTATATGAGGAGCTAGCTAGCATGCGACCGACCGACCACTAAGCTATGGACGGAGAATCCGAGAAGAATGGCGGTAATAAGTATGAAGCACTGGCGGAACGGTGCCGGAATCTGGAGGCGAGCTTGGCCACGCTCCGGGAACAGTTCGACGAACTTTCTTCCGGCCGCCAAGAGCAGATGCTGATGGAGGCGGCGGCGCCAGCTGATTCGGCAGCAGCCGCAGGCCGAGGCGGGGACGACGCGAGGTGGTCGTCGTCGTCGTCATATCCGGGGTAGGCCCGATGTTCCCAGTCTATGTGATTAAAGTCCAATTTATTTCCTCTCATCCTTTTTTTTAAGAATTTTAAAACTATATATGCATTTATAAGAAAAGCAAATATTTTATAGAGTCATTTTTACTAATGATGTTATTTGATTGGCGATCACACTTTATTTTGACCCAAAAAAATCAAAACAAGATGGTTACTCGAAGACGAACGAGGAGAGTATTTCAAATCTTGGAAAAACTCCCATATAAAAATGCATCTATATACATGGGTGCATGTGTTTCAGGAACAAATGTGCTGAAAAACTGTATGGATACAAGGAGGATGAAGTAATTGGGGAGAGTGGAATAGAGCTGCTGGTAAGTGAGGAAGAGGATCATGAATGGATTAGAAGCATAGAAGAGCGGATATGGTCGCGCAACGATTCCTGGTCTGGTCTCTTTCCCTGCAAGAAAAGGTCCGGTCACACATTCATGGCAATGGTGACAAAGACTCCACTGTATGACAATGACAATGATGAGGCTTCGGGCGTGATCACTGTTTCAAGTGATGCCTCTATATTGAACATCGCGGTTTCACAAACATTGTATCCCAGACAGTTCCGAAAAATACCCCACTCGCGCCCCCCTGCTGCATCATATGTCGCCAATATGGTGCTTTTTATATCCTTGATATGATATGATATCATATGATACCTAAATTCATGATATTGTTTCTTTCATATTCTTCATCGATCATTTTCAATTTCTCCATGTATCATGTGTTTCTGTGGGATCATAACATGAACATGTTAGATTTAATCGTATGGTTTAATTCCTAGTCAGAAGTTACTTAGTTTAGATTTAAATTTAAAAAAATAAAAGGGACAGTTATGGGTAGTTATTTTTGGAAGTTGTAGGTAGTTATTTCTAGAAGTTCTATTAGTTAGTAATATATCTGTTGATAAGTACCAATAGTTGTGTTGGTTGTTGTCTATAAATACTCTATAAATACTCTAGGAACATAGAATTCCTGCATGTAGTTCACAATAAAAAAATCAGAATTCTATTCTGCATTTGATTTGTTCTTCCTGTTATTTTTTCTAACAGAACATACATTTCTTATATGTTGTTGAATTGTTTTAAACGCATTAAATATAGGCCTCGAAGATTTTCTCAACTGAAGGCGGAGGAGAGGATGAATACCAAATCTATGGGGAGGAGGAGGAGGAATCATGTTTAGATTACTCTAACGATGCAAGGTGGCATAATAAGCCACCTAAGGCACCACCGGTAATTAAGTACTATTTGTCAAAAATGCTATGAACCGCCCACGATTGCCCCCACGGATGACAATCATAGATAATTTATACATACACAAAATTATCAACGATAAACACAGTCATCGGGGCACTGGTAGTGGGTTCCTAGCATGATCCACTGTTTGTTGTATGAGAAAGCTAATGAAAACATGTTAGGGACATTACTGTAGGCAGCAGCGAAGGTCTTCTTCTCAAAGCTGAACATCGCGGGGATTGTGAAACTGGGGAAAGACAAGTTTGGGAACAAACATCAGCCAAATGGTTGCCGCCTCTCCAGTTCAGCAAGGGATGCAATTCAGCAGCATCAGCCGCAATTAGAATATAATCCACAGTCTCGAAAGAAGGTGGAGCTTGTTGTCGGCAGCGGCAACAGAGATTTGCTAAACAAAATTAAGAATCGGATTGGGAACGATGAAATTCGATGGGAAGATATAAGCTTGAAGGAGGAGATTGGGCAAGGTAAATTGGTCTCCAATAAAAGAAACTACTTTATAATATATAGAAACTGAGTATGATATATAGAAGTCAGAGCTATTGACCTGATGAATAATTCAATGCTCAATCTGTTCAGGTTCGTTTGGCACCGTGTATCGTGGGATCTGGAATGGATCGGTATATATGCATTGTAGTAATGATTTCTTGAGCTCCTGATCTTTGTCCAAACAATGTCACAAACATGTTTGGTTTTTACTTTTTAGGATGTGGCGGTGAAGGTTTATCGTGGACAAGAATTTAGCGAGGGAACCTTGCTCGACTACAAGAAAGAGGTATACGTACGATGAACGATAATGTTTTTGTTTCAGGTACATAATGGACTAAATCAAAATGTTACATTGAACTTCCTTTGCTTTTTTTACTTTCCGTGAAGTTTTGGACAGTAAATGCAGTAGGGGCCTGCATAATTCGGCAAACCCACCAAACCGTACTGAAACCGAAATTTTGGTACGTATCGAAACCAAACCGAATAATTTTATTAGGTATTCGGTTTTTTCCTTTTTCTAAAAATCGGTTTACCGAAATCTCGGTTCGGTACGGTTTTACCGAATGAACACCCCTAAGATGCAGCAATGCAACTTGAGTCTAACGGAAAGCTGCGTACATCTTGACCCCCCTCCCCCCACCCCAAGATCATAATGGATTTGGAATTATATTGGGTTCTTCTTGTTAACTCGGGGTGAAGAAGCTAGTGTGCTATTGGGCGGGTCACAAAAACTCATGAGAAGTTAACTTTTGGTCTCTCCTCGATCAGATTGACTTAATGAAGAGACTTAGGCACCCAAATGTGTTGCTATTTATGGGGGCAGTTTCATCACAAGAAAAATTAGCCATTATAACGGAATTCTTACCCAGGTAACACCGAGGAAATGTCCTTTAATTATTAAACTTTCCTCGTTCCATTTTTAAAAAAAAGTCTTGCTTGATTAAGAGTATGTACACATTTTTACTCTATAGGGGAAGCCTATTCAAAACACTACACAAGAACAGCCAACATCTAGACATCAGGCGATGTCTAAGGATGGCCTTGGACGTGGTACACTTTTTCTAAGTTGATGTTTTTTTGGTTACAATTCTCCTTGTGGAGTTGTGGTGTTCCAAAATTTGTAATATTTACTAGGGGGGATGCTCAGGATTTATTGAATGAATAATGCAGGCTCGAGGCATGAATTATTTGCATACTAGGAATCCACCCATAGTGCATAGAGACCTGAAATCTTCAAACTTACTCGTTGACAAGAGCTGGACAGTGAAGGTATATATTACAGAGTAGTATTAGACCCTCCGAATCAAGGCTATGGTTTTGAACTTTTTTGTGGGCTTGATCAGGTGGGAGATTTCGGGCTGTCAAAACTGAAAAACGCGACGCTGCTTAGTGCTAGATCTGGGAGAGGAACTGTAAGTAATACGTTGCCTAATTTTTTTTGTTCATGTTTTGTATGGTGCGTTCTCTTGAGCGAGAGGGTATGAATACTCAGCCTGGCTTGGTAATTTTTGGTTGCAGCCCCACTGAATGGCTCCTGAAGTCCTTCGAAATGAACATTCAACTGAGAAGTAATCGTCTCATCGATCTCTTCCACAGAGTAGTCAATTGAATGTACATTACGTATATGTATGGATCTATATATATACCATTTGTGATGATATTTTGTTGTGGTTTTTGGGCAGGTGTGATGTGTTCAGTTTCAGCGTTGTTTTGTGGGAATTGATGACGGAGTCCGTACCTTGGAGCACCCTTAGCCCATTACAGGTGCGTTTTTTTATGGGGAAAATTGAAGGTGTCTTTTTGTCTTAATTGGTATTATTATTGCACCCTTTGTTTTTGTTTGGCCTGAGGGGAGATGAGAACATGTTTCATTTTGGGGGGGTGGGGTGTAAAAAGGTGGTGGGAGTAGTTGGGTTCATGGACAGGAGACTGGAGGTTGGAGAAGGCATGGATCCCAGGGTGTCTTCCATCATTCAAGATTGTTGGCAAAGGTGGGTGACCTACACAATGTCTTCCCTTCCTCAAAGAAAAAAAACAAAGGTATGGGCTTTTCAGTGTTAGAGTACGGAGTAATTATTAACCAATCATGTCGCATTGGGGATTTGCAGCGTCCCGGAACATCGGCCATCCTTTCACGACATCATCCCCAGGGTGGTGGATGTCATTCAGGCGTATAGCACCACGAAAAGCTCAGATTCTTAATCGTCGATCATCATATGACTGGAACCGGGAGCTACCATCTGTCATTTCCCATTTTTTTCATTCTGTTGTTGAATGTTGATGCAGTTCTGGAACATTAAACTGTTCTTCACAGTCACTAGTCCATGATATGACACAAATTAATGATAAGTTAAATATATAATCCACGTGACTCAGGTACCACAGAGGTTTGTACTGTGCACAAATGATGATCTAAATTGCACGATTTTATCAGGTCAAATGCAGAGCCATTGGGAGGGGGGGAGGGGTGGGGGACATGGAGTACAATTGCAAGCACAGTGTCTCCTAATATTGAAGACTTGTTTTCAGAAGAAAAGTGATTGGTTACCTTATGGTATAATCATCTGAATGTGGCGAACCATTTGCTTCCAACGACGCAAACAAACCTCACCAGATGTGTGGGTGAGGAGGTTGTCCCAGTCCACATTTTCTATGCAGCTTGCATCCAAGTCATATAGTGCACCCACAAGGCTATAATCGTCTGAATCAGCCCATTCACCTTCACCCACCATATGTCAGGTTAACTGGTGGTACCATTTCACACAGCAGTCTTTGTTACTTTGCGTGGCCAATTTCTCGCTTATTCCTTTCCAGCACAGGTTGTCGCGCAACATCCCATGATTCGACTTCTTCCTCTCCTCCTCTTCTTCAACTCTCATTTCCAGGTCAGCATTCACTAAATCAAACAACGTTTGGTGCTGAAGTGAAATCACTAAATCTGCCTGCCTGTGAAATCATTGATATAGTTCTCGATTGTCTCTAAAAAGTAGTTTGACCTTCTCGATTGTCTAAAAAGTATTTTGACCTTATCAACAAGGACCATCAATTTGCCTTGAGACATTATTTGGCAAATCGATGGACAGTGTTGATGATATGGTCGAATACTTTGGGAGGTTCGGCAAAATGAGCTGATACCCTCCATTGGAAAGAGAATGTTTGAGTGTGTATGCACATCTTGAGTATGTATCATGGTTTACTTTGTGTCTATGTTTTTCTTCCTCTTGGTGGGTCTAGAATAGTGATCTATAATCTAGCAATCCGGGAGGTGGTTCCACTGTTGTGATCGGATTCGAGCCGATAAATAGCAAGTATAAGGTAGTGGTAGCAAACCCGCCAACTGAAAAAGAGTTTTGGGGGTAAAATTATACACGGATGGAGAAGGGTGTTGGTGTAGTGTACCTAGCACAGCCTTGCTCGACCGATTTGAGAGAACACTTCCATTGGCATTTACCACAGATTCAAATATAAATCTCTCAAATCGGTCGAGCAAGGCTGTGCTAGATACACTACGCCAACCCCATTCTCCAACCGTGCATAATTGTACCACCCAAGACTCTTTTTTGGTTGGAGGGTTTGCTACCACTACTTGCTACCTATCGGATCGAACCAGATCCCAATACAACAACAACAACCCAGTTAAATCCCACAAGAGTAGGGTCTGGGGAGGGTGTGTGTACGCAGACCTTACCCCTACTCGAACCATATCCCAATAATAACGACAAAATAGAAGCTTTTATTTTTTAAGCCTGTCGGTGGCTCGGGAACCACCTCCTGAATTGTTAGATTATTGATCAGTACTCTAAACCCACCAAGACGAAGAAAAACATAGACACAAAGTAAATCATGATACATACTCAAAGTGTGTATACACAAACTCAAACCTTCTCTTCTCAATGGGGTGTTTTAACTCGTTCTGTCGTACCTCCCGAAGTGTTCAACCATATCCTCAACATTGTCAATCAACCGATAGTCGCGTCCTTGCCAGATAATGTCTCGAGGCAAATTGGTGGCTCTTTTTTATAAGGTCAAACAACTTTTTAAAGACAAGTGCGAACTGTATCAATGATTTCACAGGCAGGTGAATGAGGATCTCAGCCAACAGTTCATATGCATCTCATTTGCAGTTCTTCAGATTTGGCAACTTTATTCTGAGCCACGCATTGTTGATGTGAACTCTGAATTAGCCAGGTCTCTCGACCAACATTGACCATTGATTCCCATGTTTTTTCTTGAAACTCTCGTTGCGATGTGTATTCTTCTTCAGTCCATTTCCTTCCCCTGCTTAGAAATACCTTCTGGGCATGATGATAAACTGATTTATAACATCGGTAAGGAATGGCAGCTGCTATTTCATTCCAACAGCGTTTCAGTTCACGGGAAGACTTTAGAACCATATTCAAACCATCCTCGCCCAAATTATGTTTCTCTACATTCTCATAAACAGATTCTTTAATGATCGCATCTTCTTGAGTAGAGAACCGCTTACCTTGAACTAATTCAACTGCCTTGATTTCTCCCTTCTTGTATTTTATGTTCTCAACTTTTTCAGAATTCCCATCAGAAACCTCACTCATCCCTTCATTAATGCTGTTGTGGTTTTTATCTCCAACACCTTCGTCATTATTGGTCTCTTCTTTCCCCTTCATCATCATCATCATCATCATCTTCTTCTTCTTCTTCTTCACTCTGACCATCTCATCACAATCTTCAATCCCTTCATTTCTGGGGATAGGTTCCACACCACTGTATGTAATCTTCTCTTCACTGGTTGCTTGAGCACTTCCACTACCCCATCTTCTACACCCATTCCTTTCACTAACAAGTAAAGAATTCGAGCAAAGCAGTTCACATTAATCATACCTGCAATTTAATGAAGTCCATAGTTGAGGAAAACTACTGATGATATATAAAACAAACGCACCAATGCTCTTTTGTGATCGCTCAGAAACTCGTAGCTTAAATCTGAGGCTGCTACAAACCGAAAATGTATTTCTTCTCTATAATTAATGGAACAAAACTGAATATGATTATACAAAAGTGCACTGTCGATCTCAAATCTAATGATAATACACGAGAAGCAAAAAATGACAAACTCCAATCATAAAAACAGAAAAACAAATACGGAGTAAGTTGCATACAATCAAAGGAAATCGAAATTTCGGCTGTAAAATTAAACAGAAAAGAGGAAACGTAATGGTTTTCGTACTTTAAGGCCAGTTCGACGTCGTTAAAGATGGAGAGAGAGCCGATCGCCGCCGGCCTACGGTGGCTCTAGATTCCAGAATACATGTTCTGATTTCCATTAAGTAGGGGTGAGCAAGTACCGAACCGATACCGAAATTTCCCGACAAAACTGAGAATACCAAACCGAAAAATACCAAACCGAAAAAGTACCAAGAAGGAACCGAACCGTACCGAACCGAATGGTCGGTATGGTATTTGGGAACGGTACGAGGTGACGTCCCATACCGAAAATCCCGAACCGAACATATATACTAAAATATTATAAAAAATAATACCCCAGAGTAATATTTTTATATTCTTTCACTAAATACTAATTTTAAAAAAAGAAAAATCGATTCAAGTTCTATTACGTGTAAATTATACTTTTATTTGAGTTTTAGTTTATATGTATGAACATAAAAGTATTCACAAAGATTCGAAATAGTCATTTGTTGTCGTTCATATTTTTAGTTTGTGAAACATAAACTAAGTTTTGATACGCATCTCTTGCATTTAAATATTCATTTTTTTTAATTTTTCATGTTTTTTTATTTAAATTCACTTTTAATTTTCAAAAATAAAGGGGTGTTGTTAAATTTTAATGTGTAAGTAGGTATGGAGTAAACCATCCCAAACCATACCAAACCATCCTGAACGGTATTTAGCTCGTACCGAAACCGATACCAAACCATCCTGAACCATACCGAACCGATATTTCGGGATCGGGATCGGGATCGGTACGGAGTAAAATCCCATACCAAACCGAAATATTTGGTACGGTATCGGTACGAGCTAAATACCGTACCATACCGTACCATGCTCACCCCTACCATTAAGAATTCGACGAGATTTTGATTACTTGCAACTCCCTCGACATTTGCAACTTACTCCGATTATTTGCAACTCCCTCGACATTTTTCCAATTTTATTACTCCTATTACTTTGGTTAAAATTGACAATTTTTTATTACTCCCTCCGTTCTAACATTAACTAATCAGATTGATTTTTTTGTCAGATTTTTTTTTAAATTCTGACTGTATATTACAAAAAATATTAGGAGTATTAATTTTTTTTATAAATTTAATATCAATGAGTTCATTTTGAAACACAATTTGTATTATATTGGAGCCGTGAAAAATCAAATGAAAAACTAATCTTAAGACGAAAGGAGCATTATTATTAAAAATTACATTTTAGATTAATAAAAACACGATTATAATTTTGTTAAAATTTTCTTCCAAAAAAATTCTAAAAACTATTATGAAATGTAATTTTTATTATAATGGTCAAGTTTGTCAAATTTTAAATTAAAAAAACAAGCAAGTACGTAGAACTTGTACATATTCTATGAGAAAACTCGAAAGATTATATTTGGTTGTTGTTGTCGTAATAAGATTCTTGTTTGCCAAATACCTTGGGGTCTAATGTTCACCTTTACATTTTTATGTAAGGTGAAAATCCTTCAATCCTAAGATAGAACAATCGATTTTTTTTATTGGATCCTATCAAAAGAGTATAATTTTCTATCAAGACCAGAATGTGTCAACCCCTAGTTTTGGATAAACTTTAGGGTCATGCACCCTAGCAAGTCCCACATCAAACAAATAGGGTCATGCACCCTTCAACTCAAACATTTATTTTATTGGTTTCCATTCAACCATGGTAGATCAAAAAGTATACTCTAAATTGTATCCCAAAGAAATGCACCGATATTTTAATGATTTACATCGTTACAAAATGTTAGATCAATTAAAACAAATTGTTCTTACATTTTTATCAATGTAAATCACCACGCTAACATCACACTAACACAAAATATCGGTGTATGTCTTTGAGATACAAAATACGATACAAGTTTTGGTATACAAATAAGTTTATCGTTTCCTCACCCATACAAACGTATTTGGCCCAAGCTTTTGGTTGTACCCTCAAGGTGGTTGGGTGATGGACTATCAATGTTCCAACCACTTCGTAATTTGTTATATATATATATATATATATATATATATATATATATATATATATATATATATATATATATATATATATATATATATATAGTTATCTATTACTCCGTATTACTATTATTATTTCAATTCATGTGTGTGTGTATACATACATATATACAAGTATACAAAGTAATAATACTTCAACTCATGATCAACGGAGTTGGATCTGTCATTCCATAGTGTAAAACAAGCAAAAAGAGTGGGGAGGAAGAAAGAAAACATCTCCGAGATCACCGATTAAGAATGGTATTAGTATTTGGTATGCATTTGGTATCAGTTGTTGCATTGCCATCTTGAAGTTGGCACACAGCTCAAGTAATGGCACCAACCGCAACGCGAGTTCCCATTCTCTCCTCTTAACAACATCACCAATCCCACCACATACCTGCACACATTTCAACAAACAAACAACAACTTTATTCGTTTCTTTGTTCGTACGTCTGTATTTGAGCCGAAGACCCGGGTTTTGTTAGATTTTACTAGGTTCACTGTTGTTAAGTAGTTGTTCTTGTCACAACACACGAAAAAAACAAGGGGGAAGAGAGTGGTTACCCGGTAAGGAGTAGAACCGAGGCAAAGACCAAGAAGAAGAGTTGGCAGACGGTGTACTTGGAGTTGAGGCGGGCACCAGGTGGGAGATATTGCCTCTCATACCAGCCAAACTGGGGTCGAAGCAGAAGCACAAAACCAAGAAGGAACCCACTAAGGAAGCCTCCAATATGGGCAAAATTGTCGACGTGAGGAAGAATCCCAACTGCCAAGTTCACTGCGATGATCACCACTAGGGTAAAAAGAGCAGCAGCCTGGCACCCACAAATGAAGAACAACGATTCATTAAGTAGCTTTATGATTGTTTCCNTGCTTTAAAAAGTTGAGATTTATCGAGGTTTGTAGGAGTAGTCCACGTTGAGCGCCTCAAAAGAAAATACAAACCATCGAGTGAGATGGTAGAATTGTGATATTTCCCTCCCAAAACCAATTGGCAATGAAAGGAGTAATTCATATTCTTATATCTTAGTCGTTTTTAGTCTACGACCTCTACGTATTCCATGAAGGTGGCAGATATTAGTAGTCGGGTTGCAGCTGAATGAAAATAAAAAAGAAGCACAAAATGTAAAAGGATGCCGGGAACTTGTGCACCTTATTGCTGTAAATTGTCCAATTAGTAAGCAACTCGGACAACATAGCTCCAAGAAGTCCAAACAATGCACCGGAAGCACCAACAGAGATGCTGTGTTGGATAAACAAGGAAGAAAGAATGCTCCCGCCAATCCCTGACACCAGGTAGAGTATCCCCACGCGTACTGCGCAAAAGCCGTGAATCAGGGGGGATAGAACTCATAACAAAAAAGTTTTTTGAACAAGCATATTGTAATGCATAACCAAATTAATTGGATGGAAAGAGAAGAAAACGTACTGAATCCGAATTGCTGCTCGAGCCGAATCCCGATGAAGACCAAGCTCACCATGTTGGCAAGTAAATGAATCACACCAGCATGCAACCAGATGCATGTGAAAAGCCTCCATTCTTGATGCTCATGCACTATCTTGTTCCAATCCAGTGCCCCCAGTTTCTCTAGCCTGCAAAAGTAGTACCCCCTTACTCGCTACTCCTCCAATACATAATAACCAAAGCTCTTATTCGAGCTAAGCCCGATTACATAACATATTCAAGCTAGATGTTAGAGTACAAATCATTTCCTCGGCCTTCAACCACAAGCTTGAACCTATTTTCGAGAGTGGCACGAGCTTGGCTCGTTATAGTAAGTTGTCTCTTGAATGAACTTAATGTGTATAATCAAGAGCTATCATGCCTTGGTGCAATTTCTATAGTAAGTCCTCCCTTCAATTCATAAAACAAAGGTTTTTCTTATCTTAAAAAAAAACATTGACACTAACATCAGGTGATCAAATCAGCTAAATTTGATAGAAATTTCGAGGAATTGCAAAATGAAATGTAACAAACCAGCTCAGCTACAAGTTCAAGCTTACGTGGAAGAAGCCGGGCCGAAGAGAGGATTTTCCCTGAGGGGTTGAAAGGAGAACCTCCTGAGGAATCTGGCAACGCACTTCTCGTCCTTACCGATCCGATTAGGGCAGTCGTTGACGGACATGATTATCACGAAGATGGCGAGGTTAGCCAGCACAATCAGAGGCACCAGAAACGCCGGCCAGGCCGAATCGGCCGAGGCTGCCGTCCCATAGCTCGGAGGCGGCGGATGCGCGGCGCCTCTGGTCTTTCCTCCCCCGCTCGCTTCCAGATTTCGGTTCCCCGCCATGATTCCTTCACAGTTCAAGACTGTTTCTGTGGGCAGAAGAAGAAGAAAGGGTTTATAGAAAGGTAGAGTAAGGAAAGCGTGGAGGCAAGGCTAAGAAACCGTTGCGGAAGAGGCGGAGGAAGTGGAGGAGGGGGGAAAAAGCGTGTTTGGGGTGGGTTAAAATTGAATGCAGTTTGGCGGAGAAGTTAGGCAGCCCGTATGGGGGAGGGGAAGGGTAGTCAGTCTACCTTGAATTGGATGGAGTAGTTTGTGAGTTTTTTCTTGATTTGCGCTAGTTACTTGTACACCAGTTGCTTATACCAATTCATTTGAGATACTTACGGTACTCCATTTGTAAAAACGACAATTCCTACCCTAACTCTCTCCCTAAATTCCCCACCCCAGCCCCACCCTTGCGCTCCCACCCCAGCCCCCTCCCTACCCAGGTAGGAGAGAGGGGGCTGGGATGGGAGAGCAAGGGTGAGGCTGAGGTGCAGGGTTTAGGGAGAGAGTTAGGGTGGTAGGAACCGTCATTTTTACAAATAAAGCACCGTAGTATCACAAACGAACTGGTGTAAGCAAATGACACCGATAGCACTGGTATCATTCTAGACTTACCCATTTATTTATTACTTCATCTATAAACTTGGTGTCTTGTACCACTCTCATTTGAAGCACCCGTCTCATTTCTTACGAGAAAATTTTAATTTTTTATTAGTTTCTACCAAAATTTTAATTTCTTTCACTTCAGGGAAACTAAGAATTGTGTTAAAAAAAGTGATTGCAAGAACTTATGCATGGTTTAGTAAAGAGAACAAGCTAGAGATTAAAAAAAGAAGGAAAATACACCAAAAGTGTACTCCAAACATTCATATCTCTTTCATAACTACAAAAAGTTGCATGTAAAATTAAAAAAAATGAATGATAAAGAAGAATGTAGTGTACATTTGTAGTACACCTTTCCCTAGCAACA